CAATTCGATAGCTTTAAAACTGAGAGACTAGTTTGCGTAGAAACAGACAGACGGACAGACGGACATGGCTATATCAACTCAGGAGGTGATCCTGATCAAGAATATATATATGTCTCCTTCACTGCGATGCACACTTTTGACCAAAATTATAATACCCTCTGCAAGGGTATAAAAATATGATTTGGAAAGATTCATTTAAATAGCTTATATACTGCCCGAAATATCCCAAAAATCATTAAATTTTAACCGATTTCACCCTATTGTTCCTATTGGAGCTATAGGATATAGACGTCCGATCATCAAGCGCTTTTACCCTGATCAAGGTATGCATACAAAAATACGATTTGGAAAGATTCATGTCAATATCTTTTACACTGCGCGAAATATCTTCCATTCTTGCAAGTTATATCCGATTGTTCCTATATGAGCTATGGGATATAGCCGTCCGATCAGGGCGGTTTTTAAACTTGATCTGCTTACACATGTTTTAAGACGACTGTGGAAGTTTTAGATCGCTAGCTTTTAAACTGAGCTCATAAACGGTATTGAAACAGACGGACAGACGGACATGGCTATATCGACTCCCCTATTGATCCTGATCAAGAATATATATACTTTATGGGGTCGGAAACGTCTCCTTCACTGCGTTTCAATGTTCTGACCAAAATTATAATACCCTCTGCAAGGGTATAAAAATGACTTGAAGACGGCCTTGCTCTAAGAATGGTCGAATCTATTCCGAATCGACTGAAGTCGGTTGTGGACCAAAAGTTTGGAAATACCAAATACTAAAAGTTAAAAAAATGTTTTTTTTTCAATTTTTATACCCGTTACTCGTAGAGTAAAAGGGTATATTGTATTCGTGCAAAAGTATGTAACAGGTAGAAGGAAGCGTTTCCGACCCTATAAAGTATATATATTCTTGTTCAGGATCACTAGCCGAGTCGATCTAGCCATGTCCGTCTGTCCGTCTGTCTGTCCGTCCGTATGAACGCTGAGATCTCGGAAACTATAAAAGCTAGAAGATTGGAATTTTGCATGTAGATTTTAGGAGTTCCTACGCAGCGCAAGTTTATTTCAAAATGTACTGACGCCCACAAGCCACAAGCTGGGGCCACAGTTTTGATGCTATTATGAAAATTTTAATTGATATGTATTTGTTTCGTCAATACCTATCGATTGGCCTAATAAAAGTTTGCCACGCCCACTCTAACGCCCAAAAACCCATTAAACGCTTAAGCCTGGCTAGCGCCTAAATTTCCGCCTTTCATGGCGCCATCTAACGGATGATTTTGGAACAGCTGGCCAAGGTGCTCAACAGAGTTAACGTTAATTCTCGATAAGGATTTCTAATAAAGGAAACGGAGTAACGGGTATCTAATAGTCGAGGCACTCGACTATAGCGTTCTCTCTTGTTTATAATTAATTTGATGAACTGGGTCAAATAAGCTGTGGCGTTGAAAAAGGCAGTATTTTTAGTTTTTATTGTTTTATTAAAAAGTTCCTTGCTAGAATAAATAAATGAAAACATATTTGTAAAGTTAAAACAACAGTTAACCTGCGTTTTTTTGTATGGGTATCTCTTATGGTTCAGGAGTTATACCTGTTTAATGTTGAAAATTAGGTGTGGGTCAAATAAGCTGTGAGCCACTGTACATACTTGGTCAGGAAGAGCCAGCCCATAAGGCACGAAGTCAAAAAAAGAGCACCGAAACCTCAATCATCCTCAACACCTCCGAGACAACTGAAAACGTATATTCAGCGGCTCAGAGCTTATTTCAACTAGACCCAACCCAAAACTTTAAAATCCTATAAAAGATGAATCAAAAGGATAATCCAAATATTTTAAACGCACAATGATTCTCTTATGTTCAAAATTAATATTTATTCATTTCACTTATTTTTAATTAATTGTTCAATATATTTATACCCTTGCAGAGGGTATTATAATTTTGGTCAAAAGTGTGCAACGCAGTGAAGGAGGCATCTCCGACCCTATAAAGTATATATATTCTTGATCAGGATCACCTCCTGAGTTGATATAGCCATGTCCGTCTGTCCGTCTGTCTGTTTCTACGCAAACTAGTCTCTCAGTTTTAAAGCTATCGAATTGAAACTTTGCACACACCCTTCTTTCCTTTGCACGCAGTATATAAGTCGGAACGGGCGGGATCGGCCGACTATATCCTATAGCTGCCATATAACTGATTGATCGGAAATGCCATAGCTTTCGTTTTTGTAAAGTGAATTTTCTATGGGTTTTATATTTGGCCAATCAATCCGACCTACCAAATTTCATAAGGATCGGACTACTATATCCTATAGCTGCCATATAACTGATTTGCATAACTTTGGTGTTTTTAAGAAATGCCATAACTTTGGCTTTCCTTTTTGTTTTTAATTTATAACGAAAAATAAAAAAAAAGGAAAGTTGGGGGAGGAATTTTGTAAATTATATTCTCCAAAATTATTCATATGATGCATTCTTAATACTCATAAAAATCTGAACTTCCTAACTTTAACAACAACAAAGTTATGGATTTCAATCGTTCAGTTATAGGGAAAGTGGCCGATCCTTATGAAATTTGATAGGTCGGATTGATTGGCCAAAATAAAATCCATAGAAAATCCTAACTTTACAAACACCAAAGTTATGGCATTTCCGATCAATAGTTATGGCAGCTATAGTATAGTCGGCCGATCCTTATGAAATTTTGGGTCGGATTGATTGGCCAAATATAAAACCCATAGAAAATCCCACTTTCTAACTTTACAAACACCAAAGTTTGGCATTTCCGATCAATCAGTTATATGGCAGCTATAGGTATAGTCGGCCGATCCTTATGAAATTTGGTAGGTCGGATTGATTGGCCAATTAAAAATAGAAAATCCCAACTTCCTAACTTTACAAACACGAAGTTATGGCATTTCCATCAATAGTTATTGGCAGCTATAGGATATAGTCCGGCCGTTCCGACTTATATACTGCGTGCAAAGGAAAGGGTGTGTGAGTTTCATCCGATAGCTTTAAAACTGAGAGACTAGTTTGTAGAAACAGACCGGAATGGTTATATGTTGATCTTTATATAATTTATAACGAAAAAAGAACGAAAAACAAGGTCACAGCCAATTTCAACCCGGTACAAACTTAAATTATACAAAACGCTCGACGACCATTTTAAGCTTTTTTGGCATGGAATCTACCAACTTTTAGGTTATTTCTGGGCTTATTTTTGCCCACTCCTCGACCAATGCCTGTTTTAGGTCCGTTTTGTTGGAAATTTTCCGCTTTCGAATGTTAGTGTCCAAAATTGCCCACAAATTTTCAATGACGTTCATGTCGGGCGACTGTGCTGGCGGCTCCATGACGTGCGGGCAATTCCAAATAAGCCAGGCTCGTACAATGCCTGCCTTATGTTTCGGATCATTGTCCTGATAAAAGCGGAAATCTTCCCGAATGCCCAGTTTATAAGCGCTTTCGAGCAAATTTTTTTTTAGGATCTGAAGGTATTGAGTTTTGTCCATCGAAGTTTCTATAAACTCCAGGATTCCTACACCTGCTGCCGACATACAGGCCCAAACCATTACGCTTCCTCCGCCGTGCTTAACTGTAGCTTTTAAGTTCTTCGTCTGCAGCTCGGTATTCGGCTTTCACCACACGTAGGAAGCACCATCCGAGACAAAAATTTTGAATTTTGACTCGTCCGCAAATATAACTGTGTTCCAGAACTAAGAATCCTTTTCCAAGTGTTTATGTATATATATTGAATTAAGATTAATACTTAGAATTTTAATAATTAATAATAACCATTATATGTAAGAATAATATTTAATTAAATAAATGGAAATATTGATAAAATTAAGTGTTTATTTACTGATGAAAGTGCGGTGAAACAGCGATGAAAAAGCGGTGAAATACTGATGGAAATGGGGTGAAAAAGCTATGATTTACTGATGAAAAATGTAAAAGCGATGAAAAAGTGATGAATTAATGATGAATTTGTCACTGATTAACTCCTAGGACATGGAAATGTTAAATTGTATAGTCTGGCTTTGCAGCCTTCCACGCGGCAGATGTATGCTATATCACCGAGCTTCAATATTTTATTTTTTACAAATAACTGCTCATCACACATCGAAACCAAACGTTGTGAGCCCTTCGACTTCCTTCCCGAATTTCAAATTTAATGATTTCCAAGTCCATGATTAGGTCAACTACTCGCTGTGAACTTAAGAGGTCAAATGACTTCTGTATACATTGTAAGTACACAGGACATAAGAAAAGAACCAATAGTAAAGAACGGTAAAATGCAATTTTGGCGCGTGGCACATGTTTTTTTAATAATATTTTCTCATAATATCAAAATATTTGTATTTGAACTTGTTTAATCTAATAATGATTTTTAATTTGCCTTTTTTTCACTGTTTCACACGTAGGACATCAAATTCAATTTATATGTATATATAAATCTATATGTATGTATAAAGCTAACTTCGGGCGGAGCCGAAGTTGATATACCCTTGCAGAATATTCTGTAAATTATATTCTCCAAAATTAATATGTTGCATTCTTAATACTCATAAAAAATCCCAACTTCCTAACTTTAAAAACACCAAAGCTATGGTATTTCCGATCGTTCAGTTATTTGGCAGCTATAGGATATGGTCAGCCGATCCTTATGAAATTTGGTAGGTCGAGTTGATTGGCCAAAAATAAAACCCATAGAAAATCCCATCCTAACTTTACAAACACCAAAGTTATGGCATTTCTGATCAATCAGTTATATGGCGGTTATAGGATATAGTCGGCCGATCCTTAGGTAGGTCGGATTCATTGGTCAAAAATAGAATCCATAGAAAATCCCATATTCCTGGTAAGTGAGGCAAACATAGCGCCTTAGAACTCAATATAAATATAATTTTGATTTTAAAATCTAATCGGTACGTTCCACGAAACTGCAAATAACTAAACACTTTGATGTAATTTGTGCAACATACTTTTTAATAATAATTATTTATTATATGTTTATTTACAAATTTAGAGGGCAGTCAAATTCAAATTGATAGCCGCGGTCCACAAAGCTCAGACCCCGCTCTGATCCGACCGGAAAGTCGGCAGTGAAAACAATATATCCCCTATATTCCGGAGAGCTTTTGAGATTCTGCAGTGGATAAATTGATTAGGCAGAAGTAGAACAACATTGACTATTGGATACCTACCGCTTTATCCACAAAGTCCTCAAAACCACTGAGGTCATAGTAGAGCAGCAGAGGCGGCGACCGGCCAAATCCTGTTTTCTGTTTGTACGGTTCTCGCCTCTTAAGGACACTCAGGGCGCGGGGTAGAAATTTTGGCGTAAGATCGCGACAGTAGGACACATCCAGATGTTCTAGCCTTGGACACAGCTCCACGAATCGGACGAGAATGTCGTCGCTCAGGTGGTTCCAGTTACGGAGGCAGAGCAGCTGGAGGTCTGCCATGCAGGAATAGCGCTCCAAGTAGTCGGCTGAATGAGTCCAGCTGCAAATGGCCAGACGTTTAAGCCTACGATGCGTCCAAATGGACAGTTTCTCATCCCAACCCGGTTCCAAGGGCATATAGTAGCCGTCCACAGCGAAGCCAACGATGTTTTTGGCTTTGCGCTCCATGATCTCGTAGAACTCGCAGACTTCGCGGATCTTGTGGTCGTAGCTATCCGGACTGACGAGCGGGGAAATGTGCCACTCGTTGTCCAGCAGTACCACCAGTTGCCTGAGGGAGGGCAGTTGTAGGACTGCGGGCAGAATAGGCTTTAAGGTGGCCAGATTCAGCTTGAGAACGGAGAGGTTTTTGAGGCTCTGCACACAGTTTCCCAGCTGCAGTTTGCTGATCATGTCGTATGTCCGAATGTCCAAAACTCGGAGGTCGTGCAGCTTACTGTGGGGCAAAGGAAAAGCGAGTTGCAAGCCCAGTACTTTAGATCCCTACTTACTGACACACTTCGTCCAAATACTCCTGTTGCAGCTCGTAGGCCTTGTGCTGATCTTCATAAAGGTGCAACTCCTGCAGGTGTTGGAAGTGGGAGAGATACCGCCCGTCAATGGGCGTGGTAAGGCGCAACTTTCGCAATCCCGGAAGCAGCTGGGCCAGCTTGCGAATGCTCCGATTCGAGGGATAACAGTCGACGTCTTCTGGATCGTAGTAGAAACTGGCCACCAGTGGCAACTCGGCAATGTGCATTTCGTCCAGGTCCTTCAGCAGGGCGCACAGGCAACTGCTGACGCACATCTCCTTGATGTGCGGCCTTATCTGCGTGAGGAAGTATACGAGATCTTCGTAGTTGGGGAGCAGTTCCCGCCACTTGTCCAGATCCAGTTGCTCGTAGGCACGGCTGGTGCGCCACTTGGCCAAGCAAATGTGCCGCAGTCGCTGGCAGGTCCGTGCTAAGGACACTTCGGTCGGCAGGTCTTGCAGACGATCGAAAATCTCGTCTAGACAGTCGTCGTTCAGTCGCAGGATTTGGGGAATCGGCTCCGCAGCCATGGCCGTGGAGATTCCTTGTTACCGGATCCGGAGTAGCAGCAGGTCTGTTAAAATAATCGAATCTAGATCCTTTCGAGGAACGCAGCTCAATTGAATAACAAACAAAAATACATTACACCCGCAGTGTGACCGCAGCCGGAGCGCCTAAATAACCCATAGAACCTAACGTAACGTAACGAACGAACCTTATGTGTTATTTAGGTATTTATTTGTTTTTATATCCACACAATTTGAATTCAAAATAGGAACAAATATAAAAGTGCGAACAAAAAATCTTTACCTTATATGGTCCTCACAAATCGGATTAAAAAAGTTGTAGCGAAAAACAGCTGATTGGCCTAAAAGAACTAAACAAACCGAAGAAGAAAAAAAAAATTTGAAAATTGACTTTTCCCGCCAATAAATAAATAATAAAAGAAATAGGAATACTAACTCAAAACTAAATACACAATTTTGCATTAGCAAGTGGAATGTTTCCTCAACTCAGAAGGAGAATTCTACTTAGTCGGGCATACTAAAATGGCACGAGAAAATGTGAAGACATCGACGGCAAGAAGTAAAGAAAACTTTATTAACCATAAGTTAGATAAGCCTTGACCCAAGGATTTTATCTTCGGTTTGGTGGGTGATTTGGTAACTTTTTTTTTCGAAACAGATGTCTACTGTTTTAGAAGTGTTGCAAAGCGTTTCAAAGCCACTTAGTGCAGAGTAGCCAGACCAGTGCCAGGGTTGTCGTACTATCAAAGCGACGAAACACGTGTGTGTGCGCATTCTTTTTTGTGTGAACGAGCGTGGGGCTAGGAACTAAACGGATCGAAAATATAGAGAAATAGCTGAAACAATCATGACGGACCTGCTGAAGATTACTGATGCAATCGTTCTGGAGTACCTGCAATCCAAGGACAAGAACCTGGCCAAGGTTTACCAGCAGAAGACGAAGGCGGTAAGTTTCAGTGCATGGCGACAAGTGCAATGTGCCCGCTTTTAATGCACTTAAAACGTGTTCCGTATGCCTCCGCAGAGCAGGATTAAGGTGCCGGTTTCCTGTTAAGTACACCAGTTGGTTCATGGCCCGTTCACCTGTTGCTCTGAATTATCTCTGTGACCACGTGTTTGCTAACCAACCGCACTTCCATTGTTTTCTCATACAGGCCAACGTAGCTAAGAGCACGCCAAAGCTGATAGAGATTGTACAGTTCTACCAGACCAAGAGCACCACCAAGATCCCGGCCGTCAAAGTATCAGCGGCTGACAGTAGCGAGGACAGCGACTCGGACTCTGAGGCGGAAACGGCCCCCAAGAAGCCAGCAGCGGCTGCACTGACAAATGGCAAATCCGCCAAGCCGCAGGCCTCCTCCAGCAGTGAAGACAGCAGTTCCGAGGAAGAGAAGAAGCCAGCGACAAAGACCACGCCAGCCAAGGCAGCTCCAGCTGTTAAAAAGGCAGATTCCTCCAGCGAGGACAGTTCCTCGGAAGATGAGGCACCCAAGAAGGTAGCACCAGCAAAGCCGATTGTTGCCAAGAAGGCAGCCTCGAGCAGCGACGACAGCAGTTCGGAGGAGGAGAAGAAACCAGCGCCTAAGGCTACACCGGCTAAGGCTACACCGGCTAAGGGTGCACCAGCCAAAAAGGCTTCATCCTCAAGTGAGGAAAGCGACTCCAACGACGAGCCGGCAGCCAAGAAGCCTGCCGCTAAACCCGCCGCTTCCAGCAGCGAGGACAGCGATTCCGATGATGATAAGCCCGCAGCAAAGGCACCGGTCAAGGCGACTCCGGCCAAAAAGGCGGCTTCTTCCAGCGAAGACAGCTCCTCGGAAGACGAGACACCCAACAAGGCGGCTGCTCCAGCCAAGGCCTCGCCGGCCAAGGCTGCTCCCACCAAGAAAGCTGACAGCTCCAGTGAAGACAGTTCTTCAGAAGACGAAGCACCCAAAAAAGCAGCACCATCTAAGGCCCCTCCTGCCAAGAAGCCTGCTTCTTCCAGTGAGGACAGCGACTCCGACGACGAGCCGGCAGCCAAGAAGCCTGCGGTCCAACCTGCCGCTAAACCTGCAGCTAAACCCGCCGCTTCCAGCAGCGAGGACAGCGATTCCGATGATGATAAGAAGCCCCCAGCAAAGGCTCCGGCCAAGGCGACTCCTGCCAAGAAGGCGGCTTCTTCCAGCGAGGACAGCTCCTCGGAAGACGAGACTCCCAAGAAAACTGTTGTCCCGCCAAAGCCGACACCAGCCAAAAAGGCCGATTCATCCAGCGAGGATAGCGATTCTGACGAGGAGGAGGCTCCTAAGAAGCCGGCTGCTAAGCCTGCTGCAAAGGCATCTTCCGTCAAGAAAGCCGAATCCGAGGACTCGTCAGAAGATAGCGACAGCTCCGCGGACAAAAAGCCTGCCAAGACTGCTGCTCCCAAGGCACCGGCCAAGGCTGCCACCTCGAGCAGCGAGGACTCTAGTGACGATGAGACACCGGCTGTGAAGCCAGCTGTCAAGAAGACCGCTGCCCCTGCTAAGGCGGCAAAGAGCAGCAGTGACGACTCTAGCGAAGAATCCGGCGAGGTGAAGCCCGCGGCGGTAGCCAATGGCGCAGCGAAGCGCAAGTTTAGTGGGGGCGACCAGGACGAGGACACTCCCAGCAAGAAGTACAATAACTTCGTCAAATCGGGAGAACAGCAGGTAAGTCGGGATATTTTATTTTTCGGGCATTAAGTAATAGTGATGCGCGGTGCAAACTGTAGATTTGTTTCGTAAATACTAGTGTATTTATAGTATATTTCGTGATAAGCCGAAAAGGTGTTCTGCTCAAAACCATTTAATTGTTCCTGAAGTCTGAGCCAAACTATTTCCTATACATTCCAGTCAGTCATCTGAGATGATGGAACACCTGTGATAAATTAGTTTCTTATTCTAAATTATTAGCCATTTTATTGCATTAAATGGTATTGATAGATTTATAAAGATTGGATTTAATGATGGTCAAATCGACATAATCAGGTGTTTTTTATTTTGATTCGAAGTTTTTTCAAGTCCGATCCGAATAGGGTAAACCGTACTGTACACCTTGTCCGAATTCTGTCTAGAGAGTTCATATTTTAATTGTTTAACATTCGCAGAAGAATAGTTTCAACTCCACACCCAACAACAACAAAAGCTGGAACAATCAGTTAAACAACAGCGGAGGGGGAAGTGGCCGCAGAAGGTCACCCTTCCGGCGGGTTCGCACCGAGGAGGTGCTCGTGGACACCCGTGTCCAGGACATGTCATTCGAGGCGAAGGTAAGTGCCGCAAAGGATTTGAGTCGCGCGTCTGGGTGTGTGTGTTTGGGGAGAGGGCTGAGGATCAGCCCGGAATGGGGTAATGCTCTCCGAGATTCTGAGAAGAGGGTGACACACAAATTAGCAAGCTGCGCCGCGAAGAAAACTCAAATCATTTGTGGCACTTTCCTGATCCATTTCGAACTTGCATATCAAATCGTTGCTAATTTGTGGTTTGCCCTCTTTGGCGTTTCTCTTCCTTCCAGGACGGCTTTAAGAAGCACAACAACGGACGCGGAGGCAGGGGTGGATCTGGCTTCGGCGGACGTCCGGACCGTAGCTCCTGGATGACCAACAAGAATAATGGTGACGATGGCGGCGAGGGAGGTGGTTTCAAGAAAATTGGTGATCGCAAGAGCTTCGGAGGCTTTGACAACAACCAGCGTGGTGGCCGCGGAGGACGGGGCGGTGGCGGTCGCGGCGGTGGAGGTGGCTTCGGAGGACGCGGAGGTGGAGGCCGTGGAGGCGGTGGTGGCTTCGGTGGACGCGGTGGCGGCGGCCGTGGGGGTGGCGGTTTTGGCGGACGTGGAGGTGGTGGCCGTGGGGGCGGACGTGGCGGTGGATTCGGTAACAAATCCTTCGATTCGTCGGCGCCAAAGCCAAACAAAAAAATCACGTTCGACAATTAGAGCTAGTTAAGTTAAGTTAACGCCATTCACCTGCAAGCACACACACCCTAGATGCAGTTATGTTATCGAATTAACCTGTTTATATTATTTGTAAACCACGATAGAAAAACGCAGCCGGCTCTTGGGGTGAACGAGCCAATAAAGACCTGAAGCACACGCGCGGAAAGTCGTTCAAACATGAGAAAACCAAGAAGAAGCGTGGCAGTTACCGAGGCGGCCAAATTGACATAGGAGTCAATTCTATAAAATTTGACTAGATTTATACATACACTATATAAAATAATCAATACACTAAGGAATACGTTTAGTACGTAAGCCAACGGAGTAACTAAGTATAAAATTTTCATTATGCAATAATTTCGCACGCATGTAAAATCTTTCCAAACTATTGATTTGACTTGAGTAAGTCCCTTGCTTTTAGATCGTAAGTTTTAATTTGAATTTATTCAATGCGAACTGGCGGTCAATAAAACCGTGACCAAGATACTTTTTAGTAATATTTTTTCTCATCTTATCTAATGGCTATTATGACTAGCGGATTTTGTAACCTTTTCTGTTTCTGATGAACTTGGATTTAACGGAAAGACTTCGCTGGCTTTTTATAAACCTTTTTAAACTTAAATCCTTATCTATTTTATTTTAGTTACCTTACCTCTAACTTGTTTTGACTTTTTTTATTTATAAAAAGGTTTACGAAAAGATCCGAAAGAAAAAACTAAACGATTGGCCAAACGCTTAGATTAAACGAAGGGTTAGAAATTCCGACTAGTATTTAAGCCATTTTCCTTTAAATTGCGTTGAAAACCAGTTATAGGATCCCAGTTGTAAAATTGTAATACCCCTCCAGAACTTCAATATCGAAAAGAGTAAATTACTTTCGAAACGGACAAGAAATAAATTTTAGTTCAAAATAAGTAAAATTAAAAAAAATGTATTATTTATAATGGATTCGGTTTTAATTTTTTTACAGATTTACAATTGAAAGAGACTGCTCTAGAAGTCCAGATTCTAGGAATTAATTACCTATTCAGAGGGGACCACTCTAATATCTTAGAATTTCAGTTCAGATGTTAAATTGCTCATTTTCACAAATTCAAAAGTTCTCATACTTTATATCAAAAACACGGGGATGAACACGGTCCTCGAAACTTAAATTCAAAATATATATGACTTTAAATATAATGCCCTATGCAAGGTTATATAAATGAATAACCGAGGGTAAAAGGTTATATTGTATTCGTTGAAAAGTATGTAACAAGTTAAGAAATCCTGGTCACTAACCGAGTCGATCCGAGTCCTACCCGCCTGTTTGTCTATACGAATTAGAGATTTGAAATTTAAAATGCAGACTCTAGTAATGCCTCCGCACCGCAAGTTTATTTAAAATTGAAGCACGCCAAATAATCGCGATACTCCAAGAGATATGCTAGATTCCAGTTATTTGGTCTATATCTATAGACACACAAAAAATCGAACTCGATAAAATATTTCAGAAGTGATTTAGAAACTAACATATTCAGATATGCCTTTATGTATCTTTTTCACAGTAATGTTTTGCAGCTGACAAAAAATAAATATATTTATTTTTAAATTGGTTACAAAAGTTAAAGGTATTTAATAGTCCCAATGAAAATTAAAACACTGCAATTGACCCGAACATTATTTTTGCTTAAAGAGACCCCCCACGCTATATTATATTGTCCATATGACATTCAAAATGCTTTGTCAAGCCTTTGATAAACGAATTGTTTTGAAATTTAAATATTTATTAATATGAATTTGATGCTTACGTTATATGTAACTAGGTATCAATTTATCTTTTCGTGATTTTTCACATTTAGTAATCAAAATGTATTGTCAAGTGTTTGCTTTCACATACATAGGTGTGTACATCAACGCACATTATATAGTACGTAACTGGAAAAAAGTCCAACAGAATACAAATAATATCGATAAAGATTAAAACAAAAGACGGGCCATGTAATTATAAATCATATAATTAAATGATCACATTGCGTATAAATTATATGGTAATATAATGATGTTATATATTATTCTTTTAAAATATCCATGTTGCGGTGTGTTTGTGGTTCGAAAGGTATCAGCATATCAATTTACAACATTTTTCGAGGCATTCTTCTGGGTTCTGAGATTCTTTGAGTGTGTGTTTGTAAAAGTTTTAGCTATCTGAACTAGGGGTGTTACGGTGTAGGGGCTTGGGGTGGTGTTTAAAAATATTTCAACAAAATACATTTATATATATTTATATAGTTAGTAGTTATATGAGATTCCTGTCGGGTTTTTTAGCTTCTCCTAATCCTCATCCCACTCCCCATTCACGTCTTATGCAATACAGCTTATTCGCACATGTATGGATAGTTAACATCTCGCAGTGGCACGAAAGTCTCCTTGATAGATTGCGGAGAGGTCCAGCGCAGAATATAATGTGGTCCGCCAGCCTTGTCATTGGTGCCGGACATTCGACCGCCTCCAAATGGCTGTTGACCCACCACAGACCCAGTAGACTTATCATTGATATAGAAATTTCCAGCGGCCATTTTAAACTCCTGCAGGGCGCACTTGACGAATTCCCTGAAAACAAATGTTGTAGAATAGAGGTTACCCTATACGAGGACACTTCTTACTCGTCCTGGCCAAATACTGCTCCGGTTAAAGCAAACTTTGTTGAGGTGTGCACCAGCTTCATGGTCTCAAGCAGGTCTGACTCCTTGTAGACATAGATCGATAGCACAGGGCCGAAAATTTCCTCGGTCATGATGCGGTCCTTGGGATCCTTGCTAAGAACAATGGTCGGATTGACAAAGTACCCTTTGCTGTCCGAGTAAGTGCCGCCGGTGAGAATCTCCAGGTTAGAGGATTTTTTGGCATGCTCAATGTAGCCAGTAATGCGTTTAAATGCTTTGTCATCAATCACAGCCGACGTGAAACTGCTGAAGTCCTGAACGTCTCCGATCTTCAGCTTGGACGCCTCGCGCAGCAGGCCTTCCTTGATCTGCAGGTGAGGGGTTAAACAGATCAGCATGCCGAAAACATCGTAATCTGATGCCTCTTAAACTTACTTGTGGCCACAGAGACTCCGGTACATACATGCGCGAGCAGGCGGAACATTTCTGACCGCAGTACTCGAATGCTGAACGAATCGTAGATGTCACCACCGACTCAACATCAGCGGACGCATGCACAAAGTGGAAATTCTTACCGCCGCACTCACCAGTCAAGCGGGGAAAGTTTACGTATTTGTCAATGTTGTTGCCCACCTGCTTCCACAGGCGATTGAAGGTTCTGTCGCCGAAAGGGATTGGTTTGAATAGGAAAATCAATAGACCGGCAATTACTTACGGCACAGAGCCGGTGAAATTGATACCCGCTAGGTGGGGACTGGCGGTAATCGTGTCCCCGAAAACGGGTCCATCGGCGGGCACAAAATTAACGACTCCATCAGGCACTCCCGCTTCGCGCATAATTTTAAAAATAAGCCAGTTGGAGAGCATGGCTGTGTCTGAGGGCTTCCACAGCACACCATTTCCCTGCGAAAAGGAAATTTTAACTTATTGAAAATTTCAGGGATAGGTTTAAGGCTAGCCTACCATTAGTGCTGGCGTGTAGGATAAGTTGCCGCCAATGGCCGTGAAGTTAAAAGGGCTGACAGCGGCGATAAAGCCATCAATGCCGCGATAACGTAGAGAGTTCTTTGTGACCTTGATGTCCTCGCTGATTGGCTGATATTTAGTGACCTCCTTCAGAAAGTAGGCATTCATCCTGTGAGGTGGGTTTGGATTTTAATTCCAGAAGCAATACTTTTTAGTATAATAACGTTTTAACAAATTTCTTTCTTTGAATATTGTTCTTTTTGAATATATAAACCCAAACGAATGTTTTTTTGAATCACGAAATGCATTTAAAAACAAAAGAGCCCAATGTCTAGGCTGACCACACAATGCTCTGTTTTCAAATAAAGACTACCGATTTGTAAAATTAAAATTAAAGAGATATCTACGACACTTTTTCTGCATAATTTTTGAAATCTTTTTGCACTCACCGTATGAAGTCGATGAGCTCCGCTGCCGCATCGATTTCCGCTTGGATAGCAGTTTTGGACTGACCCAACATGGTGGCCGCATTTAATTCCTGGCGGTAAGTCGTGGCCATTAGATCAGCTGCCTTCTCCCAGATATTTAAGCGGTCCGCAATCGGTACACGGTCCCATTTGGGCTGCGTATTCACGGCTGTTTTGATGGCCTTCTCAACAAGTTTCTTATCGGCATAGTAAAAGCTTGCCAGTTTATGTTGGTGGTCGTGGGGCATGACCTGATACCGCACATCCGACGTTTTGTACTCCTTGCCGCCGATCACGATGGGAATATCCTCGCATCTCGAGGCCGTGCCCTTCAGAGCCTGCTCAAGGGCTTTGCGCTCCTTCGAGTCCTTGCGATAGCCTAGGATCGGTTCATTCTCAATCGGAAAATCCTTAAGTTTGAGGTCCGGTATGACAGAGCCAAGACTCCGAGTGCAACTGTGGTAAAATAATTTAAACATTTAATTTTAATATTAGAAAAATTTATTGTAAATATTGGTTTAATGGTCTTTAATGACAAAGTAAAATACTTTTAATCTTATGTTAACTTCAAAATAACATTAATTTGTCTGTCTAGCAAAGATGTTTTTGAGGTCATTTGAGAAGATTGTCAATTTAAGCAAACATACCTTTTTAACACGCTCTGCTGCAGACTGGAGCATTTGGAGGAGGAACTGCGCAGCATTTGCAACATCTTTTCGGAATTTGGAGGCCTGTCCTCTTCGCTGCCGGATTATATAAGATGTCTCTCTGGATTCTTTGGCGTCGTCGGCTCGCACCACCTAGAATTTCGCTAGCTGAGCGATAAGCCAGCGAAGCGAACAAACTTTTGATTAGTATTCATTTATCAGCAACCTTGACAATTCATTGGGGGTCCGCGTCGAGTCGCGTGATTTTGATAAGAAGCCAAACGTGAAGCACGACACACCCCCCAGATAAAGCAACACTGCGTCGCGAAAATGTACGTACTGCGGAGAAATTCTAGAATCTGCATAGACCAACTTGTGTAGTTTGTCAACTGATGACTGATTTCTGCTAGTTTATTTTTTTATCGATATCTAAAGTTCCCTCGCTCACCTCACTCATACTCGCGCATTTAAGAGCGCTTTTATATACAAACAAAAAACGAATAAGCAAAATTTGACGAGCATCAGCTGTTCTGTCTACGATGCGGACAGTGGGAAAAGTGTAATTTAATGTTGATAAAATTTTTTATGTTTTACTGTTTAGAAGTCAAGTGTTATATACATATGCTATGTTTTTCTCACATTTTTGTGTTTTGTTTTATTAAAACCCATTTTGAAATGATTACTAGTTTTTATTATGGTCTTCGATATATTAATGTTATATATATACAAATTTATTTTTTTTAATACACAGCTACTTCTTATAATATCTTTTTTTTTCAAACAAATAATCGTTCTGCACGATACACATTATTTGAATTTTCGAATTTAATAGAATGCTGTTCACCAATGGCCCGTTAATGGTGAGTTAAAAGAAAATGTACCTAAATAAGTTAAAAAACCCAAACTTAACTTAGTCGGCCTGTATACTCCATAACTGAAACATTTTGAAAGTCTTTAACCTGTTTCTTAGTGTTCGGTCTATAAAAGCACAGATTGCAATCATATAGTTTTGATTGAGTGCTGTTAGACTTTTTCCACTGTGCGGTAGCTACGGAAATTTCCCATTGCCAAAACCAGAAAGATATTTTATAGAACAGGGGCTGAAGGGGACTCGACCCAAAGTAGTTCTTGTTGTTTTTTAACTGACGCTGCCTTGATTTATGAAATTAAGCGGCACGAACAGTGGGGAAGGGGCAGTGCAAAAGCGGCACACAAAAAAAAACACCCCACAGTGCGCGTGAGCAGCGCCAATAAGAGGAAAAGAGATGGGGAAGGAGTGAGGGAGAAAGGTGTCGAAAATGTGGAGCAAGCTCTTTTTAACGTATGTACATAAGCATACTTTTGCTGTTTTATCTTCCTCCTTTGTTATTCACTGCCCGTCAAGTGGTTAATAATGTACAATGAATTAAGGCATTGATTTTTATCCGCAGGCAGCAATTGCAAGTCACAAGTTGCTTTTTAAGGCCAAATAAAAAAACATTTGCTGCTCAGCTGTAGATACACACACACACAAACACACAGGCGCATTAGAATGCAGCCAGTTGGCTTTGTTTTTGTCAACGTTGTTTTTCTTGTTGGCCCCAATTACGCAATGGAATGTTTTTATGCCGCCTATTGGCCTTTTTTCAATTACAATTTTTCCCATTTCGCACCTTTAATACCCCTATTCGGCGATATTGGCACTGATTTCGGACTTACTTCGTGTAAGTTTCCAGCGACGGCGGCGGAATTCGGCGAGCGACGTCAACGAATTTGTTTTGTGTATTTTGTGGGACTATTTGATCGAAATGGAAGGGACGAATTTGGACTGTTGGCTAACGGCCGGGAGTTATCGGCAGACCGATACGTTCACGGCCTTCTGCAACCGCGCACTTTCCAACACTAGCCACGGCTATCGAATGCGCGCGAACATAGCGTTGGGAGTTCAAAACAAAAGCGCCTTGTAGTTTCCTATGCATTTCCGCTTTGACTTCTAACTTTTTTTAATGTGTTAGGCGGTCAAATTATTTAAACAGAGCTATCTTCACAAAAAAAAAATTTTTTTGAGCTAATGGACTTTATGATGATTTCCTGTATTATTACAATATCAACTATTAGTCGTAAGATCAGATCAAATATCAAAATTATATGTTACATGCATTTATTTTTATATTAATATATACAAATGAATGTATGTACTCTTAAAGCTTATGTTAAAGCTTAAATTTATAAAAATCAAAGGAAATAGTGCCCCCTAAGTGCAAAGCTATGATCGGAGTACCAGAAGTCCCCAAAAATAGAATATGTAAGTTGTTAGTCGTTTATTAAACTGTGAATACTATAAGGTATATATATTGTTGATCAGCATAGCGGGTCGCTTTGGCTTAAACGTCGTGTCAAAATTACTAAAATTAAAATCATTTATAGCTGAATCGGTTTTTGAACTAATTTTTTGGCGTTTACAGATAGAGTTCTTTTTAGCAGGCCTTTGTTCTCGTAAAATAATGATATCCTTTCGATTACATATTACATAACTATTATATTTATTCGCATCATCACACTTACATAGTAGGAAGACTTAATCAATATGTACAGTAAATCTAGCTTAGGGTGTATCATTTCATATCAAATCTTTCAGCCGTAGTATCCATTTCCGCCCGCACTGGCTGTTGCGAATCCTCCACTGCTGCTGGCGTAGGCCACATCTAGAGAAGAAAACAGGTCCAGAACACTTGTATATTACTTGTCTGCTAGGACTAAAAGACGCGGAGACAGATTACTCACTCATGCCGTTGCCGCCGTAGGGATATCCTCCATAGGGGTACCCGTATTGGCCGTATCCACCGCCTCCGCCAAACATCGAGTACGGGTTGTAGCTGGGGTACGAGTAGTAGGGATATCCGCCGTAGCTGTAGGGGTATCCGTACATGCCGCTGCCGTACGTGTTCCCGTACGCCGATCCCACTCCCGCATTAGCCCCTCCGTAGTAGGGATATCCGTAGTACTGGCACTCGGAGAGCGGCAAAAGCATCGCGACCAGGACAATTCCCAACCAGAGACCACTGCTAGTCTGTTTCGCTGACATGATTTTGCTGGCTGTGTTTGTCGTGTGTAATCCTCGAATGCTGACTGAATGCGAAAATTCCGGCATTAACTGTTTTTATAGAGTTCACCGCCGAGTGTTTGCAATTTTTAAAGCATAAAACGCTTTTTTAATGGAGCTTAATCGGCCGCCCATCAGCGGCTGCTCGGTTTGCTTGTTCGTGCATGACCCAAGCGGCGTATACGCAATATTTCGAAATCCATCTATAAACGCATTTCCAACGTATTAAATAAGCGTAAACAAAATAAACCCAAACAAAACTATTCGGACCCTTATTGGCCTAACTACTCGATTTCTCATTCTACAGGTTCCGACTGCCGTTTTGCTATCAATTTAAATTAGTTAACCGCTTTTTTTCGTCAGGGGTTTAGAATTATTTTGCGTAAACACAGTCATTAACCTTAAAATTGGTTGATGGTCCGCTTAGTCATGTGGATAGACGGCGGTTTCCACTTCTTTGAGGTTCATTGCCGGCTTGGAAAGTGGTCAATGCTCATCAACGCCCTTCGGATGAGGTCAACCATAATAATTCAGATACAATTATACTCATGTTGGGTTTTGGATTTTCCACTGCGATTAGCTTGGCCGTTGGCCGAGAGTTCATTGTGAAGGACATTTTCGAAACAGACTTTTACCCTTGGTCATGGATCGATGGTGAAACTATTCAAAAAAGCGAATTCCCCAATCACTGTATGGTAGTCCAGTCGAGAGTGTGCGGGAGAACGAAAACATTTCTTAACGAAATAAAAAAAATTATCATGACAACATATACAATTTCTGATATCAAATTTTGAAGTGAAAAGTTATTAAGCATTCGACTAAACAAATGTACTTTTAAAATTTTTCGCATTCCGATACAAGAATTTTCTATTGCAGCGTGCCGAATGGAAAAATTTTAAATAGTTTTTTTTTGTCGATTGCTTAGTCACTTATCTCACACTTTACTTGTTAAAGTTGCAATTATCACGACTTGTTTTTCCTCGTAAAGATTTGTTCGTTTTAAACTTCAATCAGTTATTAGTATTAAGCTCACACAATTGGAGTTCTATATCCCTTTGATGTCATAGAAGCATACATATATAGAATATAATTACATTTAAGCTAGGGTATTTCGGAATAAAAAAACTGTATCTTTTAATAGCAAATTTTCAATTAAACATTGGATAGGTACGATTGAATCCAACATACGTATTCCAAAAATTGTTGTTTTTAATTTCAATAAGAATATTGTTAGTAATATATTAACTTAAATAATTATTTTTGTTATGGTATACAAATTATTTTCCCTTTCTTATAAATTTTTAATAGGACCCTAACGTAATGCCTTGCCAAATCTTTTCGGGAGTGATGATCCAGAGTTGAACTATTTTTGCTGTGCTTCTCGTTTTAAGGATTCAAAGGTCTTAAAGGAAAAACCAAATGACAAAAAAATTCAAAAATTTGACTTTAAGTTATAATTTGTTATTTATTTTATTTTAACCATTTATGTTCGGGAAGACTTTAAAGCTGAATTAAAAACTAAATCCTCTGGCTGCCAACAGAATGATTGGTTGACATTTTCAAAACTTCGTTGTGTTCTTATGCCATCTTAGGCATTTGTTAATATGTTCACTTCAAATAATTTTGTTTAGTAAATAAAAGTACAGCAACATTTTGTTTAGTAAATAAAAGTACAGCAAAAATAGTTCAACTGTGGATCATCACTTCCAAAAAGATTTGCCAAGGCATTACGTTAGGGTCCTATTAAAAATTTATAAGAAAGGGAAAACAATTTTTATTGATTGATTGGCCAAAAATAAATCCTATAGAAAATCCCAACTTCCTAACTTTAAAAACACCAAAGTTATGGCATTTTCGATCGTTCAGTTATATGGCTGATATGATATAGTCGCCTGATCCGGCTCGTTCCGATATATATACTACCTGCAATAGAAAGACAACTTTTGGGAAAGTTTCAAGCAGATAGCTTTAAAACTGAGAGACTAGTTTGGGTAAAAACGGACGGACGGGCAGACGGACGGACAGACGGACGGACAGACGGACATGGCTAGATCGACTCCCCTGGTGATGCTGATGCTACTTTATAGGTCACTGCGTTGAAAACTTTTGACTGAAATTATAAATAGAATCTGCAAGGGTATTAAAACTGTGTTTTACAAATTTTGGAGGTGGAAGGTTCTATATAACGAACATTCTTTGATCGTTCAGAGGTTTTTTGTTTAATATGCAAATCGACATTCATACATTCATAGATTGCTTTCAAAAAATTTAGCATTGATAATTTGATAAAATATAAAAAATGTTCTGTTTTACGAGACTTATTAAAAAAAAACAAAACTTAAACAAATTATACTTGCCCTTGCTGGCGTTCTTAACCTAGACTTCGTGAAAAAAATCTACTTTTTTCATTTTTCTGAAACAAGTTAAAATAATAATAATTAATAAAATAAGATAACATACAAGCACTTACAAGAAAACACGACTTTTTTTCCCCTTAAGACAAATTGTTGGGTAATTGTAAAAGAATTTTGTTCTCTGTACTAGTTCGAAAAGTATACAACATTTCATCTATAAATATTTAAACCCTTTTCCCGTGCTGTATTCATTTGTGTAGGTGTGTGCCATTACACTGGCCAACAATAGCAAATGTCACAATTGGTATCGTCCAGCCTTTGGGTTCTCATGCAGCTGACGTTTGTTTTCCGCCCGCTCGCTCTTTCTCCCTCTTTCCTACCCCCTTTTTGGGTTCTCTCTCTTTGTTTGTCGCATTACTTCAGGTTGTCCAGGTGTGTTTTTGTGCCGCGTAGGTGTTGCGTTCTCCAGTTGAGTGAGTTGCTTTATTTTGAGTTTCAATTGCGCATGCTCAAGCCTGGATGGGCACAGATTTCGGGACACCCTGTTTTTAGTTGGCTTGAGTTGAGTGATTTACAAGTTTAATTCGGCTTTGCAGGTTGTCTTTGAATTGAAACGTCATTATTGTTGGCTTTACCGTTTACTTTAAATAAATATGTTTACTTTAATCAAATAATATTTTCTCTTATTAAATGCTGATCCTCTTATTGTCTAATCTAGTATATAAGAATAGAAAACTTAGTACAAGGGCTTTTACTGACCAACATTGCCGAATAAAATCAAAATGAGTTGGAAAAACAAATAAACAAAAAATGAAAAACATCTACAATCCTTTTGAGTCAAGACATGATACGCTTTTAAATCTAACAACTAGTTACAAAATATTACCAAGCAGCTGTAATTTAACAAAAAGGGAAGTATGAGCAGAGAAGATAAATTAAAATAAATAAAAAGCAAATTAAAACGCTCTACTTGTCACTCTTTAGTAACAATCTGACACTAGAATTAGTACTAGCTGCAGTTAATTTTTTGAAACTGGCATTGTACATATTTCTTCAGAATTAAGTATTGATTTATCCATGAAATAAACTAATAAAGATGAAGAGGTTACGTTTAACCAGGCATGAATGGACAAATTTTCTTCACGATTTTGCAAGGTTCCCTAAAGTATGCAACATAGTTGTTACAGACATTAACTGAATTGGTATGGAAAAGTTAATTAATACATTAAAAAATTTGAAATTAATGTCTTTGAACAATGAATAATATTATTCAATGAAAAAATTTTACAAAAGTGAATTACTTACTGGACTTGAATAAATGGAAAAGGGTACATTTCCGGAGTCCCCAATCCAGCCACTTCATTTCCTCGACCCCAACCAATTTTCATATTAAAAAGTTTGTCTATGCCTATCCTGACTCCCCTTCTTACTCCTCGCTCTAAAAAATTAAAGCTATCCCTCACAAAATGTTCTCAAACTTTTCTTTCATTTAGCCTCATACTTTTGCATTATTTTGGGACACTGAAATGCTAATTGTTTGTCCAAAACGAACGAACCTCCTTGCGGCCATCAATTTTTCAGTATTCTTACGTGTAATTAATTAAAAATTTGATGCAGCAGCAACTTTTGTTTGCCGTCGAAGTTACAGCAGCAACAAAAAGCTAATTAAAACTTAAAATTATGGAGGAGAGCAACTGGAGCCGTGACCCACAGGAGATCGCCCACTCGGAACTCACTCAGTGCTTACCGAAATTCACTCAACTCGCCGAAATGCAACAGAAATGTTACGCATACGCCGCATGGGACCGAGCGAGATGCGAGCACTCAGGCTATCCTGTTGTGAGTGCAAGCCGGGGAAAAAATAAAAAAAATCAATTAAAATGCACTCGAGTGCACCGCGCTTCTCTACTCATTTTTTGGGTTTTAGCAAATTTGTAAGAAATTTTTGAACGAAAATAAGCGACGGAAGGCATGCCTTCTCGCTTCCTCTCACCCTCTCTCTTTCTCTTCGTCCCTAGCTGTGTGTATGTGCGTGTGTGTGCCAGAGGCGGGGGGTATTTCGATTCAGTTATTTGTGCAATTTCGCTCAGTCAAGTTGTGTGTTTCTGGTGCAGTGTCCGCTTGTGGCATCTATCAATCAGCCGACCATACTTGACGAAAGGAAAAAAACAAAAATTACCGAAAAATTACCCAAAGGGTCCCTGTTTTTCACCGATTTGCGACCGTTTACTGCGGATCAAGTGCACAAGCCCAAAACTCCGCTAACTGCATTAAATTTCTCGGCAGGGGGAAAGAGAGATAGGGATATATAAAGAGTGAGTGAGACGCAGAGAAAGCGAAATTACAGTTTTGACAGCTAATAACAGTCGCTCTGTGCGTGTTTTTCCTTTGTGTTGGTGACTGTACTTTTTGGCGCCTAAAAACATTTTCGCTCAACAACAAACACAAAACAAACAAACAAACGGCTAACTAAATAACAGAATTTTACCAAAGCGAATTTTAATGTTAGCTCTGACCAACTAATTTGACAGGTGAGTTCGAAGTTCTGTAATACTTATCAAAAATGATCGACTTATATGCTTTATTTGAAAATAAGAGTTTTATGGCGGTTTCATGATACCTGTTTCATTTGTAATTCAATAAGCGTAAATT